ATTCCCTCGTACGACAGGTAGACAGATTTTATTATCCAATTCTTTCAAGTCCCTTATGGTGGGCCTGGGAATGTTAGGCCCGGGACCATGACTGAGGAATGTAGTGTTATGATTGAGCCTTGGAGGCACTCCCAAATAATTAATATATATCAGTAATACGGATATGGTGTATATATTTGTAGTGTATACAGGCATATATGTATAGTATATATGTGTACATATAACAGCACTTTATATCCAAGCATAACAATTCTTTTCCAATCTGGTGGTGTAGTTTGGCCCTTGTGGTACTGCAGATAGCAACCCACTTTTATTAGGGCAATTACAGTTACCATCTGTATTATTATTAGTAGTAGGCTGAGTGTTTTGAAATACTGGGATAGGCATTGTTATAGTGTGTTCCACAGTATTATGTATATGAGAAGTAAAACAGAAATTTGGAATAGTGATACTACAAATGAGGCCTTTATATATCAATGTCTTGTAATTAGTTACTATCCAGTACTGTGCATTCATGTTATGGGTCACCCTTACTGCTGGTTGTCACCCTATGGTAAGCTTTGCTAGGCAGGAAACAAGAATGGCTAGCTTCTCTGTTCCATGGATTGCATTGCCCCATGATACACCAGTAGTTGATGTAGATCCAGTTGTTTTTTATGGATGCTGTCTTTCCGATAACCTACTCAATGGACAGGAACCAATTTATCAAATATTGCTATATTAGGATTTAGTATTGGTATCCAGACACTGATCAAGATTGTTTTGAATAACATGTGCCTTAGTTAGGATGCAGTGTCAGTAACCCAAATTATGACTGGTACTAATAGGGAATTTGTTAACCCAATTTGTAGTTACTGTGTAACTTAATTTCTTTATCAATTTGTTTTTTCCTTGCCTTCACGTTGTTTGCTGCCATTCATTTGTTGATTTTTACCTGTGTGTTGGTTAAACAGTTTAGCAAGGTTATGCACATTGTAAATGTTGTACAGCAATAATACAACAGTACAACGATAATACAGTAGTACAGCAATAATACAGTTGTTTCTACACAGTAACCAAGTTGAAATTAAATGACAGTTTATCCTGGTCTAGCTAGTGTTTTTTAGCTGATTGTTAACTTAATTGTCCATATATGGTAGATAGAGGTGTATTTGACCAGTCTCTTATTTATACAGCACTTCATTTTTCTTTTCTTGATGCTTGGGGGTTTCTTCTGGTGGCTTTGTGGTGCGATATCTTCTGGTGTCTTTGGTCTGTGGGATGCAACTTTAAACAGCTTAAGTTTTTTGTTTGTTTGTTTATACATTTCTCTTGTTTTTAGTAACCCAAATTTAATACACAGATTAATGTAGTGTTTACAATGTAATAGAAACCAAGTCTTTTTTAACACTAGCTATACTTTTGCAATTGTTGTGTAGACATTCATTTTCATTTGAGGTGCATTACTAATATTTTATACTAAATGTAATGCTTAGCTGCTAAAATAAATGCTCACAATCTTCTGTGAGAAGGTGTATTGCCTTTTTTTTGCTAAACATTCTATGTTAGCAAAAGAGTCAATAACATAATTTTTACCAAGCTTTTTAGAGTTAATTTGCTTGTGATACCAGTTTCACTCTTGTTAACTGTTTAGAAGCATAAGCTCTAACAACCACTGCTTCCCATTAACATAATGTAGGAAAAGAAAAGTGTATAAAATTAAACCAACTATAAAATTTAAACCAAAATAAATTTTAAATACAGGTCCATGCAAATACTTTGAGGGTATTATACTTTTATGATGCTTGGTTGTGTTTGGGAGACAAAGGTGGAAACCTGTTGAAATTGTTTGGTTAGCTTTATGCATAAATTGTTATTTTTAAACATTTTTGCTATCACATTCTTATAACTATATTCAAAAGTGCAAACAAGTTTATAAAAAGCCTAAACAAGAAATTGACATTTTGTTAATATTATCTTTACCTTAATGTTGCGGTTTCCCCTTACATTTTTTCTTTGAATAACAAATTTAAAAAAAAAACTGATTGATAAAAGAGAATTCTTTTTGTTTGCAATTGCATTATTTGTTGAGGTAGAAATATATGTACCTATATTTGTAACTGAAACCTTTTTGAACTTTGCATCAAAAAAATTGGTGTTACTGCTACTATGATTATACTCCAACATATATTTTTAAAAGGGTATAAAATTGACTTTTGTTGCAACAAAATAAAAATAATTAAAAATAGTCACGTGACACACACAACATACAACACAGGACAATGCACATGACATACAGGACAAACTTACAATTAAGAACAAATGGCACCAGAATTCTATTCATAACTATACAAAATAAGGCAAACAAAAACAAAAAATTAAAAAGGTTAAACATTTGAATAAACAAGTTATTACCTTATTTAAAACTTTTAGCGAAAATTGATAAAAATATATTAATATTTGCCAAATTTATTATATTAATTTGGTAACAAGGGATTTTGCATTACTTTATATTTAACATTATTTTAAAACTCTGCTATATGGAAATAAGAAAAGCCCATGTTTCAAATATTAGTGAGTGGTTAGAATTAGAAGCAGAGTGTGCATTTCTGTTGCTTGGCAACCATATCTTCAAGAAAGTTAGGAATAATTCCAGCTGTTGCATTCCTGAAGGTTAAAATAATTACTTTAAATAAATTCAGTAAATTAAAGTTTTTACCTTGTTTTCTTTTTGTTCCTTGTTTTGTTCTGTTTTGTTTTCAATTGCTTTATCTTTTGGAGGTTTCTGTAAAAACTCTAACTTTTAACACAGAAAAAAAGTCGAAGTGAGGAGAGGCGGGGAAAAAGAGGTGTGGGGGCATGAAGAGCAACCTAGGAAGGTAGCAAGACCTGAGCCAAGAGAGATTAACTCTATCAAGGTGTTTGAAAGTACAGGCAGCAGCAGCAAGTTTAGCAAACTGAGAAAGCATATAAAGGAAAAAACTTAACCGGTATGTAAACATATTTGAGAAAGAAGGTTATATTTTTAGATATGAGCGCAGAGTGTGGTTCCGTGGGTCAAAGCAGTTGGGAACCTGCACGGTTGGAAACTGTGCCCCTGGTTTTTATCCTGGCTTTGAGAGGAGAGTTGGGGTAGTTACCTGCTCTTGTAAAACCTGAATTTGTTCCCCCAGTGTCTGTTGCTTTTGTCTGCATGCCAAATGGATTGCAGGAGTGCCCTTTTTTGCTGCAGTTAACTGTTTTTGGGCAACTCCATGTGCCATCCTCCTTTCTTTGACATGGTTTCTATTGTCGAGTGTCGGCCTACTGTGTACAAAGTTCAATATTTCTTGGGCCCATAAACACTTACTTTAGCCCACAAAGACAAAACCGCCATAAACTGAATTCACAATCTTGATGGATTAATTTGTACAATGCAATATTTAATGAGAAAAAAAAATTCTGATGGCCTCACTACCGTCGCTCAGCTGGAGGGCCTATAGTAGGGCCTAAAGCTATAGTCTATGGGTTAATCCAGGCCTGGGCTCAAGGGGAGAAATCGGAGGGGCTGGATGGGCAGAATTTGTACAGGGGCCAAAATACATCCAGAGGAGGGTACAACAGATTCAAGGAGGGGAAGAAGAGAGGCAAATGGACAAAACTGGGGACAGGAGCTAGGGTTCAGATAGGGCAGTGGTTCCCAAACTTTAACAACCTGTGAACCCCTTTCACTAAAATGTCAAGTCTCTCGAACCCCTCCTAAAAATGAATATTTCCAGGGATTTTCTCCTCTACCTGAGTATAAATTATAAAAGCAGTGATCTTGGAAATATTAAATTTGTTTTTATGACATGCTTATTACACACTATTTGTTATTAATTATTAGCTATCATTACAGTATTTTTATTGCATTATGAAAACGGCAAAACTCTTCCAAGATCTCACTTTTGTAGCTTGTATCACTTTGAATAAGCCTGTTATAAGACAAGGCTCCTATGTTTCAGATGTGAAACAGCATGAAGGCATTTAAGAAGCCAACTCAAAGAGTTCCTCCTACACAAGCATTCAGGTCTTGAGCAGTCCAGGCAAACAATGCACGTTACAACAAAGCTTAAAATTGTTCATAATAATTTTAAAAACAATACTAGCTGCCTATATAATTTTAAAAACAGCAAAAAATATCCACCTCCCTTTCCATTTCTTATAAGGAATCTTGAAGTTTAAATCTTCTCAGTGTGATAGCAATGCTTGCTTTGATCTGCTTAGCTCTTGGAAGTCCAGGGGCTCCAGGCTGCTGGCCCCATGCTACCCAGGATCCCTAGGGACATCTCTGACCGCCATTAGAGAATTTTTCCCCAAGAACCCCCTGTAACATTTTGCGAACCCCCAGGGGTTCCCGAACCCCAGTTTGGGAACCACTGCGATAGGGTGAGCTCCACTGCCAGATAGGCGCAGAAGGGAAAGTCCCTGAATAGGGAGAGGCAGGAGGGGATAAAACTTAGCACAGATGGGCAACAGTTGCATCAGCAACAGTTTCAAAATAGGGTGTGGGTGGTAGAAGGACTTGTGTTTCTCACTGGATGGTCCATCTCAGCACCCCCCTCCCCAGGTCTGTGGTGTTAAAAGGCCTGTGTGGCCCAATGCTCAGGTACCACAGCTCTTCTCTAGCTGAAGTGGTGGACTGAGCTGCCAAAGGGGAATTGATTCAGGGAAACAGTTTTCACACACACACACACACACAAACACACACACACACACACCCCCATCATAAAACAAATTGATACTTTTTACAAATGTTTTCCTTGTTTCAAAGAATTCCTGGTCAGTTTCCGGTGCTGTAATGTGTCTGCATGGAGTCTCATAATAGCTCAAAAATTTGTCTTATCCGCTGTTCTGATTGTCTGAACTGGCCTCTCTTTTCTGAACCCCCCGGAAATGTAGTTCCACATCTTTTAATTATTTATTTTAACAACGTTATTTTTATGACAGTGTCCAGTGGTTTGCAAACCCACCTGAGAGATGGAACACCCTGGGGGCCCAAACCCCTGCTCCAATCAGGCTTTCATTATTTAGCCACAGTTGGATATTCCCTCCCCCACATGTCTCAGGGACGCAGTCTGAGCTGGGCTCTCCACCCCAGCCAGACCCAGGGTCGGATTCTCTCCCCAGGGACAGAGGCGGGTGGGAAAGTGAAGATCAGGGTCTCATTACCAGCATCGAAAAATGTCACCTGCCCCTGATCACAGTCCAGACAAACCCGGATCCTGCTGGGGACTTGGCTCAGGGGCAGGAGGGTTATAGGGGAAGTGAGGGCCCGGAACTCATCCCCCCACAGTTGCACAGCCCAGATCCCCGTCTCAGGGTTATGCTCAATCCGTCCCTTCCTGCTCACAGACTCTCTGGCCACCCCCACAGCCCAGTATTGCCCATCCCCCACCTCCACCTCCCAGCAATGTCTCCCCGAGTTGAATCCCTCACACCCCAGCACACAGAGCACAGAGTCAAATCTCTCAGAGTTGTTGGGCAGATCCAGCCGTGTGTCTCCCCATCTCACACTTTTCTGATCCTTAGAGAGGATGAGGTCACGATGAGCCGTATCTGGATCCAGAGTCACATTTGCTGGGGACAGAATGAATCAGAGCGTTAGAGACAGAACTCAGCCCTGGGAGAGGATTTGATCACATTTGCTGCATGAGGAGAGAATAAAATCAGAGCATTAATGGCAGAGCTCAGCCCTGGGGAAGGTTTTCATCGTGTCAGTGACAGAATCTACCCCAGCTGGAGAGTGAACCAGGGAATCTCCTTCCTCCAGGATTTACTCTGCTCTGAATGGGAAGCAGCTCTGAGATCTCAGCAAATTGCAGGGGAGAGTCACTCCCCTGGCAGGGAGGGGTCAGTGACAGAGAGAAATGATCGGCTGGGCCAGGCCTCAGACTCAGAATCTTTCTCCTCCTGCCCCCACCTCTCCCTAAGGAAGGAAGTAGAGACTCTGGTATCATAAGGGAGCCCAGCAGAGTATTATGAAAACTCTATCTGTGCTCAGGGTTCACTCAATCTATTCTCCTCCCGCTGCAGAGCCCCCTCCCCATCTTAAATCTCACTGCATCCCAGCGGCCTCTGTGCAGGATTTTGTTATGGTTCCTCCCCTTTGACACGTCTTCTACAACGAACATACTTTGGATCTGCTCCTTTCCAGATAACAATGGGATTCTGGGTACCAAGGTTTCATGTACCCCAGACTGGATTGTTTAGCAGCAGGCACAATTTCCATAATCCAGAGAACCCAGCAGAAATGTGTAAATAATGGTCCACAGCTTGTCTGTGCAGAAAAGATGGTGAACAATGTATTTCCCTATATTTGGGGATTTAACAGGAGTGATGAGGGGGAAAAATGGTGTGTGTCTGTCTATACTAGCTATGAGTTTATGGTGTTTCAGTGGCTGCTGGAAGACAGACGAAGGAAGAGGTGAATTTAGGGAGGTTAAAATGTTGACTTGAGAGAAAAGCTGAGATCATGGTGGGTGGAGAGAGAAGAAAGGGAACATGATCAGAGCACTGATCACAGGAGCTCCCCTGCTCTCTGTAATGGATCCAGGACTGCTCCTGTCTGTGCTCAGTGCTCTGGAGAAAAGATCAATCTGACCCAAAAGCACCAATCAGAGCAGGGATCATTAAATGAACACTTGGGTCCTTTGTAGGGGGCAGGGGAAGGAGCAGCATCACTGATTCCTCCAGAGTCCATGTAGGAAACACATCATCAGTCACTACGGGGAAAGACAAGCTCTCCTCTTGTACCCCCACTCCACCAGAGAGCAAGCAGAGTCCAATACCAACAGCTGTCAAGGAGAGCAAGGCAAGGCCAAGAGTACCACGGGAAAGAGGCAGACCAAGGGAGTTATCCTGGAGGGGAGAAGGATAAAGACCAGTGACAGGGAACCATATTGGATGTGATGGAAAGGAGATCAAGGTGAAGGTTACATCAGTGGGGCAATGGGAGTGGGAGGGAGGAGGAGGAGGAGGAAGGGGACACACAGAAGGCTGTGTACGGCCTTCCCCTCTGCTGCTTCAACCAGCCTGGGAACAGAATCTAAGGCTTTGCTTCATCAACTTTATCTTTTTTTTTTATGTCTTTCTCCCACCCATATCTCTCCCTCTTCTTGCATCACAGCTGGTTACAGCTTCACCTTCCTACCACTTTTCCTATCCATCCCCCCCCCGCCCCTGTTCTGTTTATTCCCCTTTAAATTAACTTTTTGTTCCTATTTCTTTTTTCTCTTGAGTTTTGCTTCCCTCCCCCAGTGTCTCCCCATCCTCATTCCCCAAAGGGCACCATACTACTCAGATTTGGGGTGAGGGGTGGGAAGAGGTCATCTGTGAAGCCAGACACCAATGAAACAGAGAGCAGAATCTAGGGCTGCTGGGTTACAGCTTGAGCCTGCAGCCCTGTGTCTGGGGGCTGCTCCCTTGGCTAGCTGCATTAGGGCCACTGCAGAATCAGTTAAGGAAGGGAGCTGCCTTTTAAAGATACACCTGCTGCTTTAACTGCAGACAAGCAGTTCCATTCCCCTTGCTACTCACCTGCTCATCCTTTCCTATTCCCATGCTCACCCACCCATCATGTGCCCTTTCACCTCTAGGGGCAGAGACCTCAGTGCTATTTCTGTATTATGCCCCAATGCTCTATTTTTCCTCTCTCTAATCTCTGAGGTTGTCCTGCTCCCCTCACTGTGGTATCTTGGTACTAGACACATCGCTCAGTCTGCCCCTTCTCCACAGGCCAGGGCTCATTCCCCAAAGCCACTTTCCCAGGCAGTGAGAGTTGAAGATGATTCAGGAAGAGGTACCAGCAATAGGAACAGAGGCAGAGAAGGGCTTAGTATTTGTATAGTGTCAAGGGAGGTGCACTCTACACTTCGCTCTGCAGATGGGATGGGAGCTGCTCTCAGGAAGCACTGGAGGAGGTGCAGTGCACAGGCAGAGGAGAAACAGGAGTAGCCGATGCAAGAACGTCTGGATTCATTGCATTTTAGTGGGACACAGCCACAAAATATGCTTCACCATGTGAGCAGGGTCTGAACAAACCCTCCCCTGACATCCAGTCACAAACTGGGGGTGGGTGGGGGAAGACTTCAGGACCAGCTCAGGCCATGGAGCTGCTTTAGCAAAGAGATGATTTTGTCTCGGTTTAGGTTACCATTCACTTTAGTTATTGAATGCAGGGGTAATGAAATGTTGTTATCCTCATTGAGTGAGGAAAGGGCAGCAGAGCTGTACTTAGCATGCCCTGATTGACAGGGAGGTCACCCTAAATTGAACCTCCCTTGCTAAGCAGAGGGTCAAAACCCAGGGACAGGAGAGACAGGAGTGGAGAGGACAGGAGTGGAGAGGAGGTCTGGACTGGACTGCATTGCATAGCATAAAGAGTCCTACACACCATTTAATCCTTCCCCTACCAGTGTGCAAAACGAAAGTTGGCTCTCAGCTGAATCTAGTTCATTATTTCTACTCAGGGATTATCAAAGATGAAGCACTAATAAGCTGCCCTAGGGGCTAACCCTTAGACCTGGGGTGGAGACAGTGTTGCAGTAAAAGACAACACAGAGGCTGCACTAGCAGTGAGATTTCCTGCTACACAGTGAAATCACTAGGAGCTGGGTTAAGTGATGGAACCTCAGAGCATGGCATCGCAAAAGCGGCAGTGAGCACCAAGCAGCAGCAGAGAAAGCACAGTGAACAAAGGCAGAGTACAGTAACTCCTCGCTTAACGCTGTAGTTATGTTCCTGAAAAATGCTACTTTAAGCGAAATGATGTTAAGCGAATCCAATTTCCCCATAAGAATTAATGTAAATGAGGGGAGGGGGGGTTAGGTTCCAGGGAAAAGTATAAGTTTTAAACAATTTAATACTGTACACAGCAATGATGATTGTGAAGCTTGGTTGAGGTGGTGAAGTCAAAGGGTGGAAGAGGGTGGGATATTTCCCAGGGAATGCCTTACTGCTAAACGATGAACTAGCACTCGGCTGAGCCCTCAAGGGTTAACATATTGTTAATGTAGCCTCACACTCTACAAGGCAGCATGAATGGAGGGAGGGGAAACAGCATGGCAGACAGAGACACACACCCTGTGTGTGAGAGAGAGAGAGATGCCCATTGCCCCTTTAAGTACGCTGACCCCACTCTAAGGCCTGGTCTACACTAACCCCCCAATTCGAACTAAGGTACGCAACTTCAGCTACGTGAATAACGTAGCTGAAGTCGACATACCTTAGTTCGAACTTACCGCGGTTCAGACGCGGTCCACACGCGGCAGGCAGGCTCCCCCGTCGACTCCGTGGTACTCCTCTCGCCGAGCTGGAGTACCGCAGTCGACGGCGAGCACTTCCGGGATCGATTTATCGCGTCCAGACCAGACGCGATAAATCAAACCCGGAAGTTCGATTGCCAGCCGTCGAACTACCGCGTAAGTATAGACAAGCCCTAAGTACACTGCCTTTTTAAGTAGATCAACAAGTTGAGACAGCAGCTGCTGCCAGCAAGCTCCCTCAGGCCTGAGCCCTGTTGTGTGTCCCCCAAGCTCTGTGGAGATGGCCCGATGGGGTAAAGGAGCGATGGGGAGGGGGACACCCTGACATTCCCCCCCCTCCTCCCCCCCCCCCCGCACAGCAAGAAGGAGGCTGCCGGGAGCAGCTCCAAGGCAGAGGGCAGGAGCAGCACAGGGCAGTGGGGGTAGGGACACCTGAACTGCTGGCAATTGATAGCCTGCTGGGCAGCTGCCGCACAGGGAACTTAGGGGAGCGGGGAGCTGATAGGGGGGCTGCCGATCCACCCTGGTTCCAAGGCCCCACCACTAGCTCCAACTGGCTGCTCTTTCTGCAAGCACTGGACAAAGCAGGCGGCTGCCAAACAATGTTATAAGGAAGCATTGTGCAACTTTAAATGAGCATGTTCCCTAATTGATCAGCAACGTAACAATGACAACTTTAAGTGAGGAGTTACTGTACAGCAGCAGCAATGAGCCAGTTGCAGAGGCATGCAGCGACAGTGGAGACATTGCTCAATGCCCTCCTCCTCCCCTTTCAGGGCTGGGAGGTGAACCCACATGACTGCACCTCTGAATTCTGGGTCTTTGCTGACCAAAGATAACCAATGGTGAGTGGGCTGCAGTGCATGGAAAGGGGAGTGGCATGTTACAGAGAGATTTGTTTGTCAGACTTTCGCACCCCAACGTGGAAAATAGAGGCAAAGGACACTACTGAACATACTGTAGGGTGGGTGTTTGCTTACGGTCACATGCTTTTGAATCGTGCTTGTGGTGTTTTCACAAATTAATGCTGGGTTCCCTTTCCCATTTAATAAAAGTTTTCTTTTGTTACACACAGACTCAGTGCTTGTGAGTGGGGAAGTATTGCCTCTTAGGTAAGGTGACCATTTGTCCTTTTTTGACTGGGACAGTCCCCTTTTTAAGCCTTGTCCCGGGCATCCTGATTTTTTTGTCAAAACTGGGCATTTGTCAGTTGCTAAGAGCAAACAGGACAAATGCCCAGTTTTGCCAAAAAAGTGGGGGTATGCCCCCCTACTGGGGTACAGAGGAACAATTGGGAGTGCTTTGTTCCAGGTGGGCCCGACTGTTATGAAAAGGCAGCCAGTTGCGAATCAGCTGAGTGGCGAATAGCGGAGAGGCTAACAAAGGGAATTTGACTGGGAGTTCGCCTGGGGAGAGCCCACTAAGGCTTTCATCTTGCAGGCTTCTCTGAGTAGTTACTGAAACAGCTGAGGAAGCTCCTAGAAGGAAGGTAATATGGATGGTGAGCTATCAGCTGTTGTGACCAGCACAGGATGTGCCATGTTTGTCTTTCTTCCACAGGACTGAAGCGTCTGTACAAAGTGCAAGCTGGTCTCCATATTGGAAGAGAAGGTTCAAGGTCTGGAGAAACAAGTATCAACCCTGCATTGCATAAGAGAAAATGAAGATTTTCTGGACAGACGTCAGGATATGCTTCTACGGGCATAACATTCTGAGGAATCAAAGCAGGCTGCGTAGAGGGGACAGAAGGACGGTGAAGAAAATTGGTGGCATGTGACCTCCAGAAGAAGAAAGAGGAGCATCCATGTACCAGCAATGCAGATACAAGTGAGCAACCGTTTTCATGCTCTCTCCACAGGCACTAATGCGGAGAGTGGACTAGATGATACATCCGAGGGAAGGGAGCAGAAGGAGACTCCACCGATTGGAAGGAATGAGATGTCCTAGGGATGGGGGTTCCACGACTGCCACTCCCAAGAGAAGGAGGCAGGTGGTGGTGGTCGGGGACTCCCTCCTCAGGGGGACTGAGTCATCTATCTGCTGTCCTGACCGGGAAAACCGAGAAGTGTGCTGCATGCCAGGAGATAGGATTCACAATGTGACAGAGAGACTGCCGAGACTCATCAAGCAATCAGATCGCTACCCCTTCCTGTTTCTTCACGTGGGCACCAATGATACTGCCAAGAATGACCTTGAGCGGATCACTGCAGAATACGTGGCTCTGGGAAGAAGGATAAAGGAGTTTGAGGCGCAAGTGGTGTTCTCGTCCATCCTCCCTGTGGAAGGAAAAGGCCCAGGTAGAGACTGTCGAATCATGGAAGTCAACAAATGGCTACGCAGGTGGTGTCAGAGAGAAGGCTTTGGATTCTTTGACTATGGGATGGTGTTCCAAGAAGAAGGATTGCTAGGCAGAGACAGGGAAGAGAGGGAAGGGCATCTTCACAAGCAGGCTGGCTAACCTAGTGAGGAGTGCTTTAAACTAGGTTCACCGGGGGAAGGAGACCAAAGCCCTGAGGTAAGTGAGGAAATGGGATACCAGGAGGAAGCACGAGCAGGAGAGCGCAAGAGGGGAGGACTCCTGCCTCATACTGAGAAAGCAGGACAATCAGCAAGTTATCTTAAGTGCCTATACACAAATGCAAGAAGTCTGGGAAACAAGCAGGAAGAACTGGAAGTCCTGGCACAAGCAAGGAATTATGATGTGATTGGAATAACAGAGACTTGGTGGGATAACTCACATGACTGGAGTACTGTCATGGATGGATATAAACTGTTCAGGAAGGACAGGCAGGGCAGAAAAGGTGTGGGAGTTGCATTGTATGTAAGAGAGGAGTATGACTGCTCAGAGTTCCAGTATGAAACTGCAGAAAAACCTGAGAGTTCTGGATTAAGTTTAGAAGTGTGAACAACAAGGGTGATGTCATGGTGGGAGTCTGCTATAGACCACCTGTCAAGGCTGATTCCCCACTTTGAACTTTAGGGTTCAAATGTAGGGGCCTGCATAAAAACTTCTAAGCTTATCTACCAGCTTAGCTTTGGTCCGCTGCCACCATCACAAGAATTCCCTCCCTGGGAAGCCTTGGGAAACCTTTCACCAATTCCCTGGTGAACACAGATCCAAACCCCCTTGGATCTTAAAACAAGGAGAAGTTAACCATCCCCCCTCCTTCCTTCCACCCTCCTTTCACCAACTCCTGGTGAA